AATTCCCTTTGGGTTTGGGTTTTTTTTTTACTAACGGTACTAAAAACCTGATATAAATGTGAGGAATTGACCATCTATGCCATAGTAGCTATTTCTGATCTGTTGAACCTGGTTTTTTAAATATAAATTACACTTTTTAAGGAACGTTATTTTACAGCGTTTTAAAATCAGCCTGTTTTTCACCAAAGATTAATGTTTCTGAAACTCACAAATCTTCTTTATCATATCAATATATGTTTAGAAAAAATGTCAAAGTATATGTCATTTATACTTGACAGAATGAGGTGGTCATTCCATAAAAGACATGGCAAACTAGTATGGAATACATTTGAATGGAACTTTTCTAAAAGTACACTTTTAAAGCTGTGTTCTACTACAGTTCCAAACCCAGCTTTTTTAAACTCCATCATATATCTACGTGATGGAGTGGCTATGACATTAACAGAAATCTGAACACTAGTTTCTTAAAAAAAATAAAAAATAATTGAGCATGCTCAGTAGACATTTTCATAAGAGCTTCTTGGTTAAGATGCCAGGTCTTTGAGATTTTTCGACTAAATTATTGATCTGTGTTTATAATACCATTGCCTGCAGTTTTGGGAACAAAAATGGAGCTACCATAATGAGCAGATACAACATTGCACTGGCTCGAGTAAGATTTTTGCATCCTGTTGTTGACATTTAACTCTTTGTCTTCTAGTTTTCTGCACTATCCCCTTTTTTATGAAGGGCTACTACATTCCAGTCAAACATTGTAATATCAGTTTTTCTAAAAGTTTGCTTACAGCCCGACAGGCAAAGAAGTCCTCTCTACCTTGGATGGTTTCACAGCCAAGGCTGTCAAGGAATGGTTGAAAAGTAATTGTTTTCAAGTGTGCCCTTTTACAATCATTTGTTTGCTCTGGCTCTTTCACGAACAAAGGCTATTGTTGAGCACATCCAACTAAACAAATAACTCATCTTGGGGTCCCTTTAACAGCTGCCTTAGTACAATGATCTATTTACATATTACCCTAAAATTGAAACCGAACTCTTTAATGACATAATCCAGCACTATAATACAGAAGAAGCATATGTTCAACCCAACAGCTGAACAATCTCGTAAGCATATGATTTTTAGACATAAATGATTGTATATCAAATACAGCTTAATGAAATGACTTATTTCACTGGGGTTTTTTTTCCTGTTAACATAAAAATTATACTGCCTTTCTCAAAGTAGATATGACAGAGTACACAAAACAGATGACAATATTCAACGTAAAGAATTTCTGTCTATTGTGTTGTCCTCTGTTTCTTCTTCTTTGCACTATTTTTGTTGATAAACCAATTTAGTATGCTATGCTTTCCTGCGCATTCCAGGATTTATCTTACCTTTAGTCTACCCATTTTACTTTCATGTGGCTAGAGATTAAAGGATGATCTTACAGATGTTGTAAATTAGTCAGCAGTAGGCATAATCATTATTAGGCATGTTGCAATAAATGTTTGGAAGTTTTACATATTTTCCAGAGCACAGTTAGTTTAAACCACTGCAGTTTGATGGTTTTACATACGACTTTAAAAATTAAAGCAGGAAATTAGTTTACATTTCTTCAAAAGACCAAAGCCATTGTCAACTTTAAGGTCATTTTCAAAGTAGAAATACAACAGAAAAAGCTTCATTCAAATAAGTATTTCAACTTTCGCTTAAAACTAGTTTCATATACTCCAGGATAAATACATTATTGATTTACTGAAATTCAGAATAGAATGGTTGTCCTATCTCCCAGCCAGGACAGAGTTATACATTAGACCTCACACAGAGCAAATATTACCACCCTATTTTGCTTGAGCATTCTAAAAGTTAAATAACATTGTACTTGATTTTCAGATAATTGATTGACTCTCATTCCTTAATCTTCCGATTAGCTATTATATGACCAAGATTCATTCCAGAAATGACATGAGGGGGTGAATTCCTGTGGTTAATTCCTGGATAGCAGCTGCTCAGGGGGATTAGGATCCTTTTGTCTTAACTTTGAGGACAGAAATGTTGGCAAGCATTACTTCTCCTGTATCACCAGGCAACGTCAATTACGTTTTCCACAAGAAACAGTAAATTAGCTTTGCTATCCTGTATTTTTTTTTTCCCTGTTCACAATGCAATGGAGTCTTCCAGTAGAAGTACGGTTTTCTATCTGCATCACTGTGGAGTTAATTCAATAAACGCACTGAATATTTACCTAGTAATACCTCATGTTTACTTGTACTTCTAAACACACCATCATACTGCTACCACAAGAAAGCCTACTGCCTGAGATCAACTCCCTGATGAAAACATCTGAGACTTTTGCAAAGCAGGTGATACTACTGAATGTAGGCAAGTACTGTGAAAAGTCTGTAGTCATGGTGCACTTTCCCTTGGTGGAAACACCAAAATAGGTCATTTCATCCTTACTTTAGGAGAACTCCCAGCTTCTCAGTGACATAATGTTCTTAAAAAGTAGCACGTATAGATAGTGCTTTCGATCATCCCCTATTGGCTTCAGACTTTATTCTGTTTGGCAGACAGTGACTTAACTGAATTATACAGGCCACTTCCCAGCAGAACCACGGCAGCGCAAGGTACCAAGATCAGGATGCCATCATCCCTTAAGAAAGTCCAGCTAATGCAGAAGATATTGCCTCAGTGTGGATTACTGCAAGCATATAAAGTCTGTTTGCTACTACCTGGATTGCAATCCTAGGCAGTATTAAGTCAAGTTCAAAGTTTTAGTTATTACGTATTTTGGTTATAGTTTATTGTAGTTATCATTATATTTTTAGTTCTTGTCCTCAAGGCATTTTCCCCAAGATCTACCATATCTAGAACAACATCTGAAACCCAAGAAAGCAGACCAAGGTTAACAGTTCTGCTGCTATGGCCCAAATGAGCACTCTAGCAAAAAGAATCTAAACTTTTTCAGGAGAGAAGGGGCTGGGGCTGTGGAAAGAATTCCCCAAAGGATTCGGGGCCAATGCAAATCTTTTGCCATACATGCACCATGCAATTAATTGATTGTTTCTTTCAAGATTTAAAAAACAAACAAACAAACAAACCCCTAAAAACCCAAAAGCCTTTCCAAGAGAATATGTGAGACAATTATATTCCCAAGAAGGGTCTGAAGAGAGATAATAAGCCATACAGGGCAGATGTTAGTCACATTACTTAACTGCAGGTGCTATGAAGCCAAGGATAGTTTGAGAACAGAGAGTCTAAAAAACAGAACATTTAATGCATTTAACGATCCTGGCAAATCTAGAGGAATTCTTTTTGAAGCCAATGGCAGCTCTTCCAGAATAAGGGTAGAAGCCAAATCATGTTCTTATAATGAGTGGTCCAAGTTACACCACTAAACTTTAGTACACTTTTCAGATGGTCTTTTGACAATATATGTATGGTAAGACTAATTTTTCCTGGAAGGAGTTTGTCTTTTAAATTAAGGCTAAATTAAATCCTTTAAATAGGATTTTGTGTAACTGTACGGGCCATATATTGTGTAATGTTTTGAATACGTATCTGTTTAAAATAATGGAGGGTGCATTTCTCTCAAGTGTTTGAGGTTTATGTAATTATGGTCCATAAATAAAATACTGAGTTCAGAACTATGTTATCAAAGAACTGCATCCTAGAAGAGAGCAAACCTATGAGACAGCATACTCAAACATATCAAGAGCCTTCATGCATTGAATAACTTATTTTATCAAAAGTAATTTAGGTAATTCCCTTCAATGTTATGTGGCAAGGGTATGACATTGGAAAATCCTTCTACAAATCAACTCAGAGATAGGAACTATAGCAAAACCATGTTGAAATTTTTAAATGTGCTATGTACAAATATTTACAAATTTTACAGAATACAAAGATTTGCCGCATTAATATTTCTTCATATAAGTGTCTTACAGTCTTTGTTTATAACAGCATTAAACAAATAGCAGAAAGAACCTGAGCTTTGTTTTTGCATTGGATCAGATTCAGTCCCTCTCAGCTGAGAACACATTTCCCACTACCCACCATTGGGATGAATGATCAAAAAACAATCCATGTGGTTAACAATAGATTAACAAAGTGCACTGCATTCAAAGACTAATAAAGACGACTATGCTGTTTTCCATTATTTTTCATGATTTGATGACATTGCGCTCCTTAGGCTCCTGTGTTTACTTAAACACATCATCAGTTGTGGTTTCGTGCTTCTTCAAGTATTATGCATAATATATGCTCTTTTTTCAGGATAAAGTTAGTTTCAATATTGAGACAAACAAGATGTTACAAACAAATTCTATTTTTCACTTCTAAAAAGAAATGTCTGAAAACATACAGCTTGTTCCACCTCCCAGTAGTTTGCATTAGAGAGAGCAAAAAGCAGAGCAGCATTTAAAGCATGAAAACT